AATGTGCGACACGCCTTAATCGACTTCAATCGGGACCAAAATTTATACAAGATATCTTCGCCTGTGGTAGTATCGATTTTGGGTATTAGATAAAACAAATTTAATGTACATTTTTTGAGTTGCCGTAGAGGAGTCTGAGCTTTGACCCCTGTGCGTCCCCAATCGGGACCAAAATTTACATGTGATATTTCCGACTATAATAGCATCGACTTATGGGTTGAGGCTTTGGAGATCTGATGTAAAAATTTGTTTCCTACATTTAAGGACCCCCCAAATATACATACATACACATACATGTGTATCCTACAATGTGCTTCCTTTATTACTTATACATGCATAATTCTGCACTACTTATTTACTTCGCTGGTGACGGTATAATTGGCCCAACCAACGTCAGCAATAGTTTGGCTTACGGATCATTTGCGTAACAACTACTTTGTTTGCAACTGTCATTAGCAATATTTTTTCCGCACTTATACTACAATGCACATAGTTTAACTTAACATTTTCATTTTTTTCTCCTCTGTAAAACTTCACATAATTTATACAATTATTTTCGTTTGCTTTTGTTTTAACAAACATACATACACACACACACCCGCATTTCTCCATATAACCGCCAGTGCGTTTACTTTTATTTGTTTATTTAGATTTGCGTGACTGTCGCGTTATCACGTAATCACGCGCATATGCAACAGCCCTACCAACAAACCAGCCACTGAGTAGAATTTATAGTCGACTTGATTAGAGTGGCATTCGTGTCGCGGTTATTCCAACGACGGCCTCTTAAGTATTTCCAAAGTATAAGTATGTCTCTTCTTTGCTTTCGGTTAATTCTTTATGAGAAGAAGAAAGAAATGCAAAAAAAAAACAAACTGAGTAACTATTTTCTTTAAATGTTTTCGCGTTGTGAATGCTCCCTCTTGCCGGTCTTTTAGGTATCCCGTGCATCGTTCCCTAGGCTACTTAGCATTTTAGCAGCGTGATTTTATCGAACATTTTCTCTCGTCTATCCGTTCGTCAGCCTTAGTGCTTGCACCATTATTGCTGTTGTTTTTCTTTGAATTTTTATTATTCTCTTTTGAGCTTGTATGCTAGCTACATTCCAGTGTCGTATTTCAGCCAGATATAGACATTCAGATAACTTCCCTGCCGGAAATATAACTAATTATGTATAAATTAAGTTGAAGTTGATTAGGAAGGATCTAAAGGTTAAGGAAATAGTTAAGGGTGGTTACTTCGGCATTAGATGTCGACTAACTTGTAACTAATATTGAAATATCAATAAGAAAAAAAATATATGTATTTTTGCAATTATTTAATTGTTTACTTATTTAACTTATTTAACATTTTTACTTGTTTATTTATTTCCTTTTCCTTTATTTAATATTACATAGTCGAATGCGGTAAGAAATGATAATAGATGATTTCGATCTTCATTGTATTTGTTCTGAATTCGAAATAGTATTTGTGTGAAGTGCAGAAAAAATACGTATTCAAAGTAAATTTCTTATGTGTATATTTAAATAGAAACTTGTTTAACTGCCAGTTTCACAAATGCAATTTAAGTGCAACATTTTTTCTCTTCTTAAGTTCATATAAAAAAAAAATATTTTTCACATAAATTTCTTTCGTGAAACTGGCTATGAGGAAAAAAACTCCCGATTACTTTTACTAGTTTTAAGTTAGCTTTTTTTAGTTAACGAAAAGTTACATCTTTCATCGTAATCTCGCAAACAGCTAACTGCAAGTGGGTTATTTTTTATCAATTGATAATTTTTTCTGCAGGGTTACATGCACATACATGCATGCATACATACAAATCCGCAATGTACACAAACATTTATGTTATGTAAATTTTTGGGGGGCCCTGATATAAAAAAGTTTTCAGTGCTAAGGTGTTAAGTTCTACATACATATGCATTCGTAATGCAGTTTGGTAAAAAAAAGTTCAGTGAGTGTGTAAGGATTAACGCTAAAGGAAGAAAAGAGTAAAGGCAGTATACAAATGTTGACGATTAGCTCCACCTGATTGCGCCTCCTTGAAAGCGATTGAATATGAAATTTGTATTTGACTCTGAAATTAAAGCACTCCACCTGTAGTCATATCGGGTGTTTTTATTATTAAACTTCTTTACTCTCGGATGAGTGTAAATGCAAACATCGATGTAACGGTCATCTCAGTCCTGAGTCTCAATAACACTGGTTCTGTATTCTGTTTTTTTTTTTTTAGGTCAGGTCATTTTCAAAAGATATTTTCATTTTTAATTCATACTTCCACATGGGAAATGTTACTCATACGCCATGTAGTAGTATATATGATGAAAGCCATGTACAATATTTTCTGCTCTTTTTTCAAAGAAAAAGGTATAGTACATTTTTATTTGACCATTC